ATATTATATTAGTTGCCCCACACAGCACACGATGTCCATTGGACGTCTATGGACGTCTATGGACGTCCAATGGACATCGTGTGCTGTGTGGGTGTTATAACTTTAAACAAGTATTTATTTTCCACACACACCTAATACAATAGCTCAAATCGGAATAATAATGAGGATTCAAAATAGCGAGTCTGTTCTGCTTCACTTTCGCTTTTTAACTGACTCTGTCGCGCTCCGTGCGACACCTTCTCGAACTGGTCCGTAGGGCGAGTCCACAACACTCCTTCCCCTTACAAGTTGAGACGATTCACGGGCCTACGGATACGGCCCGAACGGCGAGGTTTTTGTGTCTGCTTTTCGTAATTATTTTCCAGCTGCTTTTCTGTTATTTCTGACAGATTTTCATCTTCAATTGCCACGCCCAAGGCCTCTGCATGAGCTTGCCGTGAAGACCACACCTGGTGATCTTCTTCACGTAGTTCTTCATTACCCGAATTCGCCAGCTCGGAGACTGGTGGTGTGTTTCTGGTCTGAGTGTTCAAATGACTCATCGGCGATCGTACTGTAGACTCCGGTATCGACTCGACGGTGGTGGTTACGACCGGTTTCCTGATGATCTGATCTAAGTGACGTTTCTTTTGGTCACCGTCTGGCGTTTTGATTGTGAAGTTTCGTGAGCCATTGATTTCTTCAATCTTCCCAGACTCCCATTTAGGGCCTCTGCCAAAGTTTCGATATAATACGTCATCAGATACTGAGAATTTCCTGTTCTGCAGCAAGGGTTTTTCCTCTCCTTTCCCTTCGCAGTTTTGGCTCGTTTCGGGGTGGAATTTGTCCAAGAGTGTACGCAGTCGTCTCCCCATTAGCAGCTCCGCCGGTGATTTCCCCGTTGTAGCACACGGTGTCGATCTTAGTGCCAACAAGATGTTTGCCAATCCTACTTGCCACTCTCGAGCAGGTATTTTCTTCAGCTGGTGTTTCAGTGTTTGAACCATTCTTTCCGCTAGTCCATTTGATGCGGGATGGTACGGTGCTGTTTGGATGAATTTTATCCCATGCCTCTGAAGATACTCTTTTACCTCGGTTGCCACAAAACCGGTACCGTTGTCCGATACGACTACGTCTGGAATACCGTGAGTTGCGAACGCTTCTCTGAAACCTTTTATCACGGTGTCCGCTGACATTGAACCTCCAGTTTCTTTGACCTCCGGCCATTTCGTATGCGCGTCGACCATGACTAAAAAAGTATGTCCCATCGTGGGCCCCGCAAAATCGACGTGAATGCGTGACCAGGGTTTCCCAGGCGGTGCCCAGCTCATCGGCTCCGCTTTTCGGGGTTCTTTCCTCGTCTGTACACACTCTACACAGTTACCGATCATTTCTTCGATGTCTTTATCCAACGCCGGCCACCAGACATAGCTGCGAGCGATAGCCTTTGTTCGATTTATCCCTTGGTGTACCTTATGAAGAAGCCCTAGAACTGCAGCTCGTAAAACTTTTGGAACGATCACGCGGCTACCCCACAGCAGACAGCCTCGCAATACCGATAGAGTTCCGTTACGATGCTTCCACGGTATGTAGTCCGGTTCATTTGGAAGTTCTTCGATAGTTCCGTGAAGGACTGCTCTTCGGACTCTTGCCAGCACCTGATCGTTTGACGTCGCCTGTTCGATGTTTTCCGCGGTTAATGGTGATCCTGTCGGCGCTTCTTCTAGGAGCAGCACGTCTGCTGGTTCCGGGAAAATTCTCTCCTCGCCTGGTAATGGCAATCTGCTGCATGCATCCGCGTTCGCATGTTTTTTTCCTGGCCTGTAGTTTAACACGAAGTTGTAGCTGCCTAACATCAGATTCCATCTGAGCATCCGTGGCGATAATGTTTCTGGCATAGCTTTACCTTGTTTTAGCAACCCTAACAGCGGCTTGTGGTCTGTCAGGATGGTTACAGGACGTCCCCAAATAAATCTGTGGAATTTTTTGAGTCCAAACATTATAGCCAGAGCCTCCTTGTCAATTTGCGCGTAGTTTTTCTCGCTGGTCTGCAGAGTTCTTGAGCCAAACGCAATTGGTGCCTCCGATCCATCTGGTAGCTTGTGAGACAGCACTGCTCCCACGCCGTAAGGTGACGCATCGCACGCTAACAATAGAGGCAATGTTTGATCGTAATGTGTCAGCACCCTGTCCGTCGTTAGCAGCTCCTTAGACTGCTGAAAAGCTTGTTCTTGTCTTGAACCCCACACCCAGGCCGCCTTCTTCGACAGTAGTTCGTAGAGAGGTCCTGCGACCGACGCTTTATTCGGCATAAATCGCTCATAAAAATTCATCAAACCCAAAAACGACTCTAGTTCCGTTCTATTTCTCGGCGGTGCCGCCTCTTTTATTGCTCGAACCTTCTCGTCCGTAGGGTGCACTCCCTCGGCGTCAATTCTGAACCCCAGGAATTCGACAGAGTGTCTTGCAAATGCGCACTTGTTTCTATTAATGCGCAACCCTACCTCTTCGAAGCGCTTCAAAACTTCTTGTACTCTTTGCCAGTGTTCGTCTACCGACCGACCCGTGATTAGGATGTCGTCTAAATAAACGATGATTCCCTCCAGTCCTCCGAGGATGGTTTCCATAAGTCTTTGGAAACATGCAGGAGCTGACGAAATTCCGAACGGAAGCCTTTTGACCCGAAACAAGCCCTTGGTGGTGTTCAGTGTTAGAACCTTCGACGACTCCTCATCCACACGTACTTGCGTATATGCCCGGTCTAAATCAAGTTTGGTGAAGACTTTTCCTCCAGCCAATACCGCTAGACCTTCTGTTATAGTCGGTAGAGGATAGACATCTGTTTTTATCACGGTATTCACCGTGCCCTTGTAGTCGCCGCAGATACGGATGTCTCCGTTCCGCTTCAGCACCGGAACGATGGGTGTTGCCCAATCGGATTGATTTACCTGTTCTAATACGTCTTCCTTTACCATTCGTGTTAATTCCGCTTCAACTTTCGCTTGCAGAGCCAGCGGAACCGCACGATGTCGCCTGAAAATTGGTCTTGCTCCCTCGTCTAATACGATCTTGATGGGCGCTCCTCTATAGCGTCCCAATTCTTGCCGAAAAACTTCTTTGTATCGCTCCAACGCCGGTGGCAGAGCCTCCTCTTGTACCCAATGTGTTCCGCTTACCGAGATCCCCAGTGTTCCAAACCAGTCTCGCCCGAGAAGATTTGGTCCGTTGTTCGCCATGATAATCAGTCGCAACTGTGATTTGATACCTCGGAACTGTACTTCGACATCGCACTCCCCCAAAGTTTCAAGTTGTTGTTTCGACCAAGTTCGGAGGATTACTTTAGAACTTTCCAGCTTCTTACCGGCAGGCCATATCCTGTTAAACGTTTCTCGACCTATGATAGTGTGTCCGGCTCCTGAATCGATCTCCATTTCTACCGGAAATCCTTCAATCACTATCGATGCTGTTCGTTTATCGGTAGTTTCACGTGTAGATACGTTAAATAGATAGCTGACCGAACTGCTTTCCTCATCATCTTCTTCTGTACGATGGCATTTTGATGTCTCTTTCTTCTTTTGTCCTTCGCTTTGGTTGGACGAGTCTTTCTTTCCATCTTTTTTTTTCTTGAAACAAGCTCCTTCGACGTGACCAATTTTTTTGCAGTATCTGCACTCCGTCTGAATGTGTGTACAAGTTTCAGGAAGGTGACTCCCGTTGCATCTGAAACACGGTCGTTTTTTGCTTTCCTGTTGCTTATTTATTGTGCTTTCCACCTGCTGTCCAGTGTTATAATTTGCTTTCAATTCCGAAATGTTCTTGTTCGCTGACTCGTCTGCCAACGCTGCATCTTTGACTTTTTTGAACGTCAGGTCAGCGTCAGCCAACAGCCTTCGTTGGAGTCGCTCATCTCTCATTCCGCAAATCAATCTATCCAATAACATTTCTTCTAAATCCGTGAACTCGCAATGTTCGCTCAACCTCCTGAGCTCCGCTAAATAGTCGGCCAACGTCTCATTTGGTAGCTGATCACGGCGATTAAATTTGAATCTTTGAACAAACTTACTGGGCCGTGGATTAAAATGTTCGGACAACAGTGTGACGGCCTCGTTGAACGTCAATTCGCTCGGTTTTCTAGGGGTAGCCAGTGACCGCAGTGTGGCGTACGTTACCTTGCCGCATGCTGAATAAAAAACTGCTTTTTTCTTGTTTTCTGAAGTAATGTCGTTCGCCTCAAAATAAAATCCTAGTTGTTCACGGTATACTTCCCACGAATCTGCCGAACCTGGTACGAACTCGGAAACCGATCCCACGGTTCCTACGACTGTCTTTGGCGTTGCGTCTGTCATTTTCTAGGTTATGTTATTTTCCTAGGCCGCGATTCCTTTTCCTTGGTCTTATTTTCCGCTTTTATCAACGTTTATCCTCGTCGCCAATATGTTATAACTTTAAACAAGTATTTATTTTCCACACACACCTAATACAATAGCTCAAATCGGAATAATAATGAGGATTCAAAATAGCGAGTCTGTTCTGCTTCACTTTCGCTTTTTAACTGACTCTGTCGCGCTCCGTGCGACACCTTCTCGAACTGGTCCGTAGGGCGAGTCCACAACAGTGGGGCAACTAATATAATATATATGCCAAGCCATAAGGTAATCTTT